AAATTAAGCAGGAGCTCAAGTCTTGTCACAAATAGGTAATGCAGCAACATCTCAGTGTCCTTGAATTTCTGTAGGTGAGGCTGAGTTAATTCTTGTACCAGTCAAAGAACAGTTTTTCTGCCTAAAAATTCAGAAGGATCCTCAGGACATGAGGCAGACCACATTTACATCCCAGAGCATGGTGTTGTGTGTTGCTGCTCTTCCAAATTTTATCCAGGGTAATGGAAAGCAGCACTAAGATTTGCACTGCAGGGAGGTGCAGTTAGAATTAACCAGCAGCGTGTGCAGCTTGGCTGGGGATGCTCCTGGCAGATGTTAGGGGTTACTCCAGATGTTTCAAAGTCAGGGATTCTGTGCTGCTGTTTGGCTAGAAAGCAGAGGTACAGAGCACATGGCTCAGCCAGGAATGCAGCTGGGCCGTTGCGGAATCAGAGAATCCTAAAATGGTTTGTGTTGGAAGGGATTTTAGAGCTCATCTTGTTCCACCCTGTGCCATGGGCAGAGACATCTTCCAGTATCCCAGGTTGCTCCAACCCCTGCCCTTGGACACTTCCAGGGATCCAGGGGCAGCCACAGCTGCTCTGGGCACCCTGTGCCAGGACACTCACAGGAAGAATTTTTTTCTAAAATCCAAACTTTACCCACCCTCTCTCTTAGTGTGACGCCATCTCTCCCTGTCCTGTCTGTCACTACTGAAAGGTACAATAAAGTCTCTCCAGAGCTTTCTCTCCCCCCAGAGCAAACAACCACCAGCCTTTCTTCACAGGAGAGGTGTTCCAGGCTTCCAATAATCTCTGTAGTCCCTTCTGGAACTGCTCCAACAGGTCTTTCTTCCCATCTGTATTAGTGCCAAAGGGTCCATTGCTCTAATATGCAACAAATTCTCAGGCATGATGCTGAAACACCTCTTTGGACATGGATCTCCAGGCTGCAGGCTCCTGCTTGTCTGGTCCATGGCAGCAGAGGCAAGTGATGCTCTCAGTGCTACCCTGAACCTCGTGCAGCAAAAGCTGTCAGCTCCTTTTCAGGCACTGGAAGCCAAATGCTATTGTCCCACCAGTCCCTTTCCCTGTCTGTCCCCATGGAGCCACTGCAGCAAGGTGGGGGTGTGTCACAGACATCTTTATGAAAAATCCTTTTCTTAGGGTTTTTCCTCCTGAGAAGCTGGGAGGCCTCAGGAACAAAATGTAAACAATGGTTATCTGCTGTTGTGGAATGCAACAGGTGCATCTGGGATTGGTCTCATGTGGTTGTTTCTAATTAATGGCCAATCACAGCCCAGCTGGCTTAGACAGGGAGTCTGAGCCACAAACCTTTGTTATCATTCTTTCCTATTCTATTCTTAGCCAGCCTTCTGGTGAAATCCTTTCTTCTATTCTTTTTAGTATAGTTTTAATGTAATATATATCACAAAATAATAAATCAGCCTTCTGAAACATGGAGTCAGATCCTCATCTCTTCCCTCATCCTAAAACCCCTGTGAACACCATCACAGGGGTGCACTCTGCCCTGCCCAGAGCTGTGTCCACAGGTCCAGGGGAGCTGAAATCCAGGACAGGGGACAGGGAGCCTCATCATAACCAGCTCTCTATGGGGAAGATGCATCTCAGTCTCATCATGTCAGCTTTTCCTCTTCAAGCAGCTTGGTGTGTGGGCTGCTGCCTGCTCTCTAAAAGCTTCTGAGATATTTGTAGCTGCTCTGCTTGTTCTGATTTTGCTGGAACAAAAATAATTACTGAAAGGACAGGGATAAAAAACTCTGTGTGTGCTTACATATATGTTCTGAAAAATCAGTTTGAAGTGTGCCACAGGACTGCACTGGGTTTTAAAGGGATGTCATAAAGGAGATAGCTTTTATTTTGCTGTACACTGAAGGTTGTGAATTAGGAAAATACCACCAGAGAAACATTGCAGGTTTTGGAAACTACACCAGGACCACAGCTCTGCCCTGGAATTTCATTACAGTCTCCCGTGTACCTGGCAAGCAATGGTAAGGAAATGAGAGTCCTGCCAATTTGTAAAGGTTATGGTTGAGTGTGTGGCTGGAGGGCTGATCCAATCCAGCTAATGCATATTGCTGATGTAATACTGAATATTTCTTCTGTCTGGTCTTCAACTTCCTGGGATTAATTTCATATATGCAGAGAGAACTTGTGACTTTCACAACTTTTACTTACCTGGGTGTAATGACAGATAAGGCAGATGTGACCATTTCCTTACTTGCCCTGGTGCTATGACTGAAGATATTTTAAACCCTTCCAACCTCAAATCAAAAACCTGTTTTAAATTTAATCTCTGAACACTTTCAACTGAGTTTAAGGGTGAAATTTGCCTAATGGGAGTCCTCAAAAATGAGCTCAGGTGGGACTGAAATGAAGTTTCAGCTTTTGCAATGGGTCATATCCCAGGAGTTAAATTCACTCTGTCTTGGGCAAACTTAGCAATCACTTTGCCTCTGAGAGATCAGCAGCAGAAATTACTGCACACACGTGCCTACAAAATCTGTCTCCCTGCTATCCCTCCCCCTTTGAAGCCCAGCAAAAAGCTGGGACTGGCACAGCCAGCCTGATGTAATTGAATTTCCTTGCCTCTTGCATTATATTTTATCAGGTGATGGCTTGGAGGGATTTACATTGCACAGAGCTGCTGAGGAGAGTGGCTGAAAAATGGTGTGAAAATGCTGATAAATAGTTCTAAATGAAAGCAATTTTAGCAAGAGCACCTGTAGGCAGCCTTGGTCTCCTTTTTGGTAACTATCACTGCAAAATGGGAGCTTCTTGCAGCAACAGGCACACAGGGACAGGTCCCACTCAGCACCTGAGGCTGCAGAGCCTAGGGATGCCTTTCTTTGCCTTGCTATTGAGCTGGGTCGAATTAGTGGCCAAATTAAAGCCCCAAATCTCTGCTGCTGACCCATTCATAGCATTCTTTTCCCCTATTAATGGGAAATAGATGAAGGACATTGGTGTTAACAGCCATGGGTGACACAGCTTTTCCTCTTCACACTCATCTACTGCTTGGAATAAAGGTGGGGGGAACCCACAGCTCCTGTCAGCTGCACCTGAGCTCTGGTTCCTGAGATAAACACCTGAAGGGTCAGGAAACTGCTAGAGAAACCCAGAATTTGGTCTCATCTGTTGTGCTTCAAGTTTCATGTGGTTTATTCTGAGATCAGAGCAAGGAACCCATAAGAGGTGCAGCTGCAACCACCACATCAACTGGTCGCTGATGGGTGGAAAAAAGTTCTTTCCAGATTATTCTTTCTTGATATTTGGACTCACACCATTTTCAAAGCTCTTCTTAGATACACTTAACACAAGAGGAAGTGGCTGTGTGAGGGTTCCTAGGCTTGCACTAATGGAAATGATATATGGAAACATGAAGCTACATGAAGTGCTTTTTGCTTGGGTTTTTTTTTGTTGTGGTTTTTTTTTTTTTTTGGTTTTGTTTTGTTTTTGTTGTTGTTGTTTTGGGGGTTTTTTGTTTGTTTGTTTTTTTTTGTTTGTTCAATTTTTGGTAGTGTTTCACGTAGTTCATTCTGAAATCAGAACAAGGAACTCATAAAAGGTGCAGCTACAACACCACCACATCAACTGGTCACTGGTGGGTGGAAAAAGTTTCTTTCCAGGTTATTCTTTTGTGATATTTGGACTGACACCATTTTCAAAGCTCTTTTGAGATACACAAGCCAAAGTAGCTGTGAGGGTTTCTAGGCTTGCACTAATGGAAATGATATATGGAAATGTGAAGCTAAAAGTACTTTTTGTTTGGGCTTTTTTTTTAAATTTTTTTTTTTTGGAAGTGTTTCATGCAGTTCATTCTGAGATCAGAGCAAGGAACCCATAAGAGGTGCAGCTACAACACCACCACATCAACAGATCACTAGTGAAAAGTTTCTTTCCAAGTTATTCTTTCTTGATATTTGCATTGACACCATCATCAAAGCTCTTTTGAGATACACAGGCTGAAATAGCTGTGAGGGTTTCTAGGCTTGCTATAATGGAAATGTGAAGTTAAAAGTACTTTTTATTTGTTTGGGGTTTGTTTTTTTTAATTTTTGTTTTTTGTTGTTGTGTTTACCTCCAAGTGCTCATGGAAATAGCTTACTCCAGCTCCTTGTACTTAAAGATCCATTTGTGCTGCTGCCTCAGCTCCTCCTGTGGAAGGCAGTGAGTTGAAAGAGTGATTCAGACACCGTTAACACAAACGAGAGGAGACAGGCCAGTACTTAGCACGACAGACTCCTCAGAAAGTGTGGACAGGGAAAAGCTGTTTCTTTTCTGTCTGTCTTTTCCCCTTTGCAGACTGCAGATGAGAATTTCATAGCAGGCTAATTCAAGGAGCAGGAACCCCCAGGTAATTCAGCCGCCAGTCCTTACAGCAGGTGCCCTTTGTGTGTAGGAGTAGGTGCTGATAGTATTAATATCAGCTCATAAAATAGAGGAGGGTGAGAAGAATGAGTGACAAGGCACATTTCAAGTATCCACTGCAAGAATTCAACAGGAGAGCCCAGAAAACATGAAAACTAGGTGGGCTGAGTGGTAAAGTTGGTGCTCTGTTCAAGCTGTGTCCTAAAATAGAGGTAAATACTCTTCTAAAATACTTTTAGTGCATTAGAATAACCTGGAGGGTGAAGTAAAATGGGTTATGGGGTAGTGGGCTGACTGTAAACCATGATTAGAGTGTAAAAAATAAACAGCAACTCAGACCCAGAAGGTCTGAACTAAAATCTAGAGTGGATCTCAGTTTTTTTCCCAACTAATAACCACACTTAAATCTAGTTCTTAGAAGTGCATTTCAGTTTAAGACCAAGAGGTCAAAAATGGCTTCATCTACTAAAGTGAGATTCATCTTTTTCATCTCTTCACAGAACACTTGGAAAAAATCTTTGCTCCACGTGTTACAAATTTATTTTGGGTAAACTTATGTAATTCTTGAATGAATGAATGAGCATATTTCTGCTTTCTCTCACTTTATAGGAGTAAATCTGACCTTGATATTCAAAATCATGGGTTTTTTTATTAACCTGACCTGTGTTACAGTGTCCACCCTTTGGGTACACAGGAGAAACCCCTCCAGCTGCACTCCATACCCTGGGCAGCACCTGAATTTCTGGTTAAAGTGAGTAGCTCTTTTAAAAAATATTATTATTATTGTTATTATTTTCTCTCCCCTAGAATTTCTGAGGAATAAGATTATTCTCCTAACTCTAGAAATGATTCTGTTAATATTTCTGAATGTGACTGATTACATTGGCACAAGGGAAATGGTTGGAGATTCTGGGATAAAACAGAATCTCTTGTTCAATTCTCTAGATTAAAAACCATCAGACAACAAGGTGCATTCAGAAAGTCAAAAGGAGAAATGTCCTGTGACAACAGAAAAATCAAAGTTTTTCAGATACCCACTTGGGTGATGAGTAAATCTATAAAGAAAGGGACTGATCAGCAATGAGAGCAACATCTCAGATGAGCTGGGGAGATAAAGTGAGACTTGTAAAATGTCAAGGTTTTAATTTCCTCGTGAAGGAGATCCTTTGTAGAGGAAATTAAAACAAACAGTAGAAATTCCTTGCCCATAGTAATAAGGAGTTTATAATGAGACAAGAAGCACTGACACCATGCAGAAAGAATGGGACCAAGTTAGAAAGTGATCTGCATTTGTCCTCAAAACAAAATGAATAATTTTCTTTCAAATTCAGTGAGGATGTTGATAATGACTGTGGCATAATGGCAGGGTGTGAATGGGAAGGAGTTTATGGACATTTAAATTATTCTAGCTGAGGTAAAAGTAAAATTCAAACTTCTTGATGTGATGATAATGAGAGGAACAAACTGCTTTTGTTTCTGATTCCTGAAAGAACCCTTTACAGTGTTGGTGCAGTAGCAGGTTGATATTATTTGATACAAGATTTGTAAGCACATGTATTTTAGAAAAAAATGATCAAGGCATTTGCAAGTCCATTAGTGTGACCTCTGTAGTTTGCCAAACCAACTTGGAATGGCAGAGTGATTTAAACAGTGTCAGATGGATCACAACACCCTTTCTGAGAAAAAATCAGGAGACAAAAATGTGGTACCTTGCTTTGAGAAGTTAAATAATTTCTGTCTATTTGGTATAATTTAGATCTGTGTCCAAATAAGCCAGAAACATTTGAGATGTGCAGTATGAGAAATTCCCCCTAAGGCAGAGGTAGGTAAAATGAAGTTAAACTGATCAGAAGAGTGTTACAAAAAGAGGGGAAGTATCTCTGTGAGGGGGATTAGTAGTGAAATTATTCAAGCAACAGTCTTGTCTGATCTAACTTCAAAATTTCATTAATAATGGGAATTACCAGTGATGAATGGTGTTGGAAAAGGCTGGTAAAAACTGGGTGGAATTTGTTCCTGCTAAAGTCCTAATGAACACTGGACAAGTGACCGGAGAAATCTGTGTAGGAGAAACAAAGTCTGTGAGCCTGAGGAACACCTGGGGATGTTAGACAAGCTTAGAAAGGTGTGCTGAGGGATCAGGGTGTGATGGAACTGTGAAAAAGGCAAATTCTAAGATGCCTCGGGCAACGTGTGTCTAATAAAGCAAGAGAAATGGAAATATTTTTGTATCAGAGCCTGGTACACATTTGTCTGTAGTGCCAGGTACTGTTCCAGACATCTGTGCCTAATGGAGACAAATCCAGATAAGGGTGGGTACAGAGGAGGACTGATGGGATAATCAAGTGGATGGAGAGGCAAAGACTGGGATTTTTAAGACAAGTAAACAACTGCTGTTACTAAACAGAGAGTGTTGAGGGGTATGTGAAAAAGATGAACAGAAGGATTCAAAATGCCAGAGAAGAAGATGATTTGTTAAGCTCAAGGGTAACATTGACACAAGAAGAAACGAATGTCAACAAGCCACGATTAAATACAAGCTGAAAAATACAAGCAGGCAACTCAAAGTCAGAAGAGAGAGCAAAGCCTGTCCAGGGGAGAGAAAAGCTGAAATTCTTCCCACCAAAATACAAACACTAAATGAAGGTATTTACCCTTTGGATTTATCACACTGAAAGACACCCTTTAATTAATGTGAAGAGCCTGCTCCAGGTGTGACTCAGATCTTGGGTGTGTTGAATCAGCTCAGAGGGGCCTCTCCTCTCACTGAGCTGAGCTCTCAGGTGGCTCAAATCCACTCCTGCCTCCTCAGATCTTTAGAGAATGATGGGTCACTCTGCAAATGGAAAGGTCCAATTAATTCTTAAATGAAGGATGATTATTTTAAAGGTATTACAAGGAGTGCCTGCACAGTATTATAGATTACCTGCAAGAAAAAATGTACAATTCTGGAGGCTCAGTTCTGGTTTATATCAGATACTGCAAAGTTCCTATGTGCTGGTGTCATGTGAGGCACCTTCACAGCCAGCCATGTCTTGCATTTAAGGCCCAAAAACATTTCAAAAGGAGGGTTAGCCTGCCACAGATACTTTGTCTTAACTGTTGGAGTCTCTGGATTGTGCTCTGAATTACAACATGGGCTCAGGTGTCACAGGAAATCATGGGAAGTTTAATTTTGGCAAGAAGGATGGGCTGCTCAGAGTGCCTGTGGGCGATAGCTTTTGTCTCTGTTGGAGAAGGAGCAGAATTATTGACTTGCAGCTTCTAGAAATGGAGTCCAGATTTATTACAACAAATTTTCTTAATTTTACCTGGGTGGCTGAACTGTTTTGAGCAGGGGTGAAGTGGTGCCAATCTTTTGGCTGTGGGTGATTTTGTCACCCCTCTATTTCACAAGAGTGACATCTTTTTTGTGATATATATATAGGTGTGGCTGTCTTCTGATGGTAAATAAATTACACTTCCTTCTCTCAAGCCCCTGTGACTATGTTTTCTACAACAAAACATTAAAATGCTCCTTTCCAGGCCTCTCAGTGATCTCTTTCTCTATTTTGTAATGTGGTGTTAATTTGAAGGCATTTTAAAGCACGCAATGAAGAAAACTGCAGGTGGAAGTTTGGGGGTGATGGGGCCTCCAGTGAGGGTGAGGAGGAGGAAAGGAAATCTCAATAATACTGCCCTTCCAGGGATTCTGCCATTAACTGATGCATTATTTTTCTAAGCTCATTAAATATCCCTTAGAACTGTGAAAAGGTCAAAAGAGAGGGGAAGGAGCTGAAGCTGCCTGTGGATTTTTGTTGTACAGCAATTTCCTGACCAAGATGAGGGAGGAAGAGGGGGATGGAAGGAACAAGAAAGGAGGGGAGTAGAAAAGAACTGCTGATTTTTCTGTTGATCTTTTAATGCAAATAAATGTTTCTCCTCAGACTTTTCCCTATAGCAGTCATCAATCCAAATCCCACAGTAGCTCACCTGTAGTAGCTGCTCTGTGGTGAAGCCACAAGCTGTTGTTTACAGCAAACAACAAATTGTAATCATCTGTGGATCAGCTTAGACGTGGAGTTGATGGCTTTGGCCATCTCTGAATGTCTGGGGCAATAATTAGAAGAGTTTTATTGTTCTTGCCCTAGGAAGCCCAGAATCTCATTAGAAATACCACATGCAGGAAGGTCTGAGGTATGAAGATCATTTGTCACTTTTAATGGGTTTGTATTTTAAATCACATTCCAGGACACGCAGATGGGTCTTTGGAAATCATAAACTTTCTAAAGAGATAGGGAAGAAGTACACAGGAACAAGGTCTTCAACTCCACTGGGACATGAGGAACATCTTTGTCTCTTCACAGATCTGTCCCTTAGGAACTGCAGTCAAATTCACTTGAACAAACAAAATGTTTCCTTTTAACTGGCTGCTGTTTGTTAACTCATGAAAGAGAAGATGCTTGTTGTTCCCTTTATTTTTTTTTTTTTGCTTTTGATTTGCATTGCAAGGTGAGTTTGTAAACGGAACTAATAGAAAAATCAAGGTTAATGCTGCCTGATCAAATAAGAATCATGAAGTTTGCCCCTTTGCAGAGCAATGGATGATATCTGTGGTACTTTTTATGATGCTAATATGACACCAAGGTGAAATGTGAACCTGGAACATAATGAAATCAAGAGTTTATGATGAATCAGTGAGCAAAAAGCATTATTTGGGTACACTATTCTAGGAAACTCTCAAAAAACCCATTCACTTTTTATACAATTCACTGAGGCTCATCCAGTGAACCAAACACAGAAATTGCCACAGGATTTGATGCAGTGGTGCCCCATTCTTCAAAAATAAATTATTCAAAAATTCTGCACAAATAACAATCCAAGAAATTGGATTATATATGAATAAATACATTGTGTTGTGACATTTAACAATTTGAGGTTTTTTTTCCCAGAATGAAAGAATATAAAGTACAAATTTCTGCCCTTTACCTTTAGAAAGCTGGGAAAACGTGTGTTTATTTATCTCAATGCAGAAATTGTGTGAAAGCCTCATTTGTGTGGGTCAGAAAGACAACAAGATTGTTTTCTGAATCCAAGGCTATTCCCATATAGGACTAGATTTTAGTAACTGGTGTTCTAGTGCATTAAAGTGAATCCACAATGTGCTGGTGGGGTCTGTGTGCAATCATTTCTTCTATCTGGGTGTCACAGCACTCCATTTTGCCTTTTTTTAGGCTTGTTAATCTTGTTACTCTGCTGAGCGTGCATCAGTGTAGCTGTTGGACTCTGCAAATCCCACGAGTAATTTCACTCAGCTCCACAAAACACATTTATCTTTGGCAGCCCATGAGTAAGAGCGGCTGAGATGTTGTCAGTGTTCAATGCAGATCTGGTCTTTGCCATTTCTTAGTCCTGGACTGGGGAAACACAAGCAAACATTCCACATTTCTGCAGGTGAGACATAAACTTTAAGAAATTTACAGATTTTAGAGCAGTGAAGATTTTAGTTAGAGCTAAAGGTTTATTGGAGTTAATTAAAATAAATGGGTAGGCCTTGATGGAGTTAAGAGTTAGTAGTTAACTAATAATTGATTGCTTGTCAACATAATGTTTGGTTAGCTGGGTTTATAATGAATAATATAGAAACTAATAAATAGCTTTTAGGAGCATAAGAAAATTGTGGCCTCCTCTGTTCTTAAACCAATTGAAGACGGAAATGGGAGTTCTACCAAGGGTTCATTTGTCATATTTGCATTGAAAAGGTAGAAAGGTCAGAATGAGAAAGACTTCATTCACTTCCTCATTTTGGAATGAATGGAAGGGACCACCAACCCATTTCAAGGAACAAACTACTCATGCTTAATGACTTTTGAACTAATTACTATACGAAGAGGGGAATGGGATATACCAAAGTTATGAATACGCATTTGTATTTTGGGTATTCAATACCTGTATAGATAAAAGGACTCTGTAATGACCTGTAAATTGTGGTGTGTATTTGGGAGCTATCCCACAATAAACATACACTTTCTAACTTTAAACTCTTAGAGAGTTTTTGTCCATCACAGTTGGATATCGGTACTAAATCAATATCCATATTTTTTTTAATAAATCACAGGTCTGTGGGCAGCTCCTGGCCTGCAGGATGGGTGCCAAGACCTTCCAGGGATCTTCTTCCAAGCCACACACACAGCAAGGGTCCATGGAGACAGCACCAAGGAGATTTGATCACTTGAGCCCAATAGGGGATTGGTTCCGTGTCATAGGCATATTTTATGAAAAATCCTTTCATTAAGATCTTTTCTGCTGAGAAGCTTCAGCTTCTCCATATTTTGCTGCTTTGGAATGTGATTTGGAGAATTGTTTACCAGCATGTGAAATTGTTTTTACTTGATGACCAATGACAGCCAGCTGTGTCGAGGCTGTGAGCAGTCACAAGATTTTATTGTCATTCTTTTACCTTCTAGCCCTCTGATGAAATTCTTTCTCTTCTCTTTTAGTATAGTTTTAATATAACATTTTCTTTTGATATAATATATATAATAAAATAATAAATCAGCCTTCTGAAACAAGGAGTCAAGATTCTCATCTCTTCCCTCATCCTGGGACCCCTGTGAACACCACCACAGTTCTGTCCATCCATTTCTGTCCCAGGGTGGTTATCCTCAATTTATCCACCATAACTCCACGCAGCAGATCCTGCCAGGGGTTCTGAGAACACAGAGCAGGGAAGGGATGCTCGGTGTTTACAGAAGGATTGAGATTGAGGTCAGTGGGATTAGGGCGCTCAGCCTTGCTGGGCACAGTTACAAATCCCGGCTGGCACTGCTGCTCTGAGCTCACACACAGCACCAGAGCCATGTCTCAGTGCTGGGACGTGGATTCCTCCACCCAGCAGAGTGTGAGGGCACCAGCAGCACATCTGCAAAGCAGGGTAAAGTGTTTGGCAGGCGTTCCCCTTGGGATTAGCACTTGAGCAGAGTGTGTGTGGAGCCAGGGTAACACATCTCTATTTACTGAGCAGATTTTGCATGTTCCGTGGTGTGAGCGAGTAAGTACAAGAGCGAGAGGAGCTTTTCTCCAGAATTGGAACAGTTTCTTTGTCAGCACTGCTGCTCCTTCATTTAATTCCACAAATCTGCTCTAATCAGAGTGGCTTCACCCATCAGCTCAACGGAGAGCAAGAGCGGGAGGGAGGAAGCATCTCTCTCTCTCTTTCCAGCTTTCTGTGTTCTCAGGCATTGCATCAAAGTGGCACAGAGCCTCCTGGGAAGGGGATTTGCTATCACTCATGTCAGTCCCAGCCACATTATGTTTATGGATATGATAGACTGAATACTAAAATTGCCATTTGCACAAATGATCCCACAATTCCTTCAGGCCTACTGTATCCCTTTAATAGTCCAATCTTTCAATAATGAAGTGGAGATCAGTCAGGACTCCCTGAAAATCCCATCTTTTTCTTTCATTTCTCTCTTTTTTTTTTCCTCCTCCTCCTTTTTTGGGGGGCTTTTTATTGCACACATTATTTTCATCCTTTCTCTGAGCTGGATCCTTTTACCAAGAAGTTTTAAGGGAGATCAAGAATGAGATTCTCAATATTCTGTTAATACCTCAGAAGTAGCAACGTGGCAGACAAATCATTGCTGCTTGAGGCAGTGAGTCATGCAGAATTCAGGAGTTTGGGAACTACACACATGGAAGAGGGATGCTATTCATGAGGCCTCAGGAACAAATATAGTGCAGGAATGATACCCCAGAAAGCAGGCTGTCCTTCCTTAATGTTCTTCATTGCATGCTCTGCTGCATCTCCTTTCTATGATGCTTCCTGTGGTTAATATCCAGGAAAAAAAAAATCCAGTTATCTAATAGCGCTAAACTCAAGAAATTATTAATTGCATGGGTCAAGGCCTGGACTAAGGTCTATGCAAAAGCAAGGAGGGTTTGACCCATTTCATTTTGTTTTTAGAATGGTTCTATTAGAGTTTCATTCACCTGTTTCCCAGGAAAATAAAAATTCCTTGAGAATCAAAGTGACTTTTTGTGAAGCGAGTTTTAACGATACAGCCATGGTAAATGGTGTAAGGGAGAGTTAGTAGGAGAGGTGTACAAAGCAGGTTAGAAGATAACTTTAGATTGATCTGACAAACAATTCAGTGCTCATTTCAGACACTGAAATCATGGCTATGGTCCTTGACACAAGATGTGGTGTGGAGAGGTGCTGGGAATGGGAATTCTGCTGGCAAGGACAGAAATTCCTGTCAATCATATTTAGCAAATAGTCTGTGGAATTGGGAGCAACAAATAAATTGTGCCCTGGGAAGGAATGGTGCAGTGTATGAGGCATCCTTGCCTGGGCTGGTTTGAGGTGCTGCCAATCCATAAAGCTCTATGAAATCCATAAAGCTCCATAAAAGGAGCTTTAGGAAAAATATTTGGAAAAGTTTCATTGCCTAAAGAGTCATCAAGCACTAGAACAGGCTGCCCAGGGCTGTGGGGGAGCCACCATGCCTGCAGGGATTTAAAAGATGTGTAAATATGGCCTTTGGGGACATGGTTTGGTGTGGCCCTTGCAGTGCTAGAGGAATGGTTGGACTTGATGGCCTCAAAAGTCTTTTGCAGGCTAAATTTTTCTGTGATTCTAGGTCAGGGAACTGGATTCTCACTGGGGATTGATGGAGCTGTACGAGCACATATGAATGGAAAACCTGGATCTGGCTTTTTCACTTTGTATTCATGCATTTGTTTGTTTTTGTACCTCAGCATTTCACTCTGTCCTCCCACTTCCCTATTTTTCTCCTTCACTCTCCTTCTGTTGCCTGCAGTGCTTTTGTGTCTCTCTTTTCTCCTAAAATCTTCCTTTCTATTTTATTTGACACACATTTTTCTTTCATCCCTTTCTCTTTGCCTCCCTTCACATTAGTGTGCTGTTTCTGTTTTCAACCAGAACATGGAGATGGTGCTGAGGGGCAATGATGTCCTGGACATGAGACCCACCCAGGACTATGGCCAAAGCCATGAGATTTCAGGGTGAGCACAGTCCCATTCAGCCCCTAAAGATCAAAGTGTTGTGCTCAGGGACGATTTTCTGCCTGCAAATCAGTTTGCTGATTTCTGTGGGAGGCTCTGCGAAGTACAAGAAGCAGCTGCAGAAATTGGGAAGGTGCAACTCAGAATTTCAGCAGTCCCTGGGTGGAAGATTCCACTCTTAACTTGGGAAGCCCCCATCTGTGACCGTGTTCACAGGGGTTTGAGGATGAGGGAAGAGGCCAGGATCTGACTCCATGTTTCAGAAGGTTTGATTTATTATTTTATGATATATATTACATTAAAACTATACTAAAAGAATAGAAGAGAGGATTTCATCAGAAGGTTAGCTAAGAATAGAAAAGCAAAGAATGATAACAAAGGTTTGTGGCTTGGGCTCTCTGTTTGAGCCAGCTGACTGTGATTGACCATTAATTACAAACAACCGCACGAGACCAATCACAGATGCACCTGTTGCATTCCCCAGCAGCAGATAATCATTGTTTACATTTTGTTCCTGAGGCTTTTCAGCTTCTCAGGAGGAAAAATCTTAAGGAAAGGATTTTGCATGGAATATGTCTGTGACACCCATCTCCCACCTGCACCTCCAATGGTAAGAAGCTGCTGATGTATTTTTTTTATTAATTATTTCCCCTGTTGCATTTGCTCTGTTTTCTTGATTATATGAACACAGCTCTTCTCACTGCCTGTGCTCAGCTGTCTATTTCTCATTTGTGCTGTTTGATGGGTAGTGTTAATCTGTGTGCACCCAGCCTGCTGGGCTGATTGACTGATGGAGCTCCTTCTATGCAGAGGCTGTTGGCATTAAAAGGGAAATTAAGGGGGAAAAACCCCCTTAACCCTGAGATTTAGCAGAAATCTCAGCTATGGACACTGAGCTCCATTCTCCTCCCTGGGATGGGCAGGAAAGAGCCCATAGAGGGAGGGCAAAGTGGAAAGAGGGGGAAGCAGGGACTTGGGGTGTAGAGGAGCTCCAGTGGCTGCAGAAATGAGTGTGGAATTTGAGCAGAGAGCTGCTGAGAGCCGCCACCAGGGGCTGAGGCACATCACCTTCTCCTGGGCAGCACCATAAGTGCTGGGAAATTGTGCAACAAACCCAAATTAAATTGAAGTGCCTAAAGCAAAGCACTTAAATCCATACTTAATGGCCCAATTCCCAGGCGAGTGCAGTCCAGGGACCCAGAAGTCTCACTGTGACACATGACTGTGGCCCTGAGTGTATTTCTGTGTGTTTTAGGATGAAGGATTTTAGGATGAGTTACTGCCATGGTTTAGCCACAGCCAGCAAATCAGCCCCCCACATTCACTCATTCTCCCTTGGAAGAATGGGGGAGAAAATTGGAAGATGAAAGCAAGTTAACTCATGGGTTAACTTGCATGAGATGAAAACTGCTCAAAAGGCAAAGAAAGAGTTGCAAATACAAACAAGGCAGGGGCATCTCATGCCATGTTGGATTATGGAGTTTTTTTGATTTGGAGATGGGTTAATTGAGAGGTGTTTTAAAAATTTTTATTTTATTTTTAGTTTTACATGAAAGGTGAGCCAAGTGCCCACCAGGGCCCTGCACAAAGACATCCCAAGGGGCAGGGGAGATGCTCTGGTGCCCTGTGTGTCCTGGCAGCACTCAGTGCCACCCTAGGACTGTGTTTGTAATCCTCCTGCAGGGTTTCACAGGAGCAGGAGGAACAGGGCTGAGCTGAAAGGGATTAGCAGCAGCAATTTCCAGGCAGGGATCTCATTGAAAGATATTCCTTCCATGGGTTAGAACACACCAGTCTGTGGCTTTTAGAGTGGCAATTATCACTGACCCAGTCCAGAGCAAGGGAACTGCAGTGCCTGTCACCTTTTACTCACGTTTCAATAGGGAAAAGTTTTTTTAAACTACTTGTTCCCCATTATTTGACTGTTATAAACTTGAGCAGTTTGCTGTTGGAAGCTAAAGGTGTTTTTCAC